AGAGAGGGGCAGAGGGCGGGCGGGGACCCGAGGGGCAGCCGGGCCTGGCGCGAGGGACGCCGCGGGGCCTGGACCCCCGAGCCTCCCGTGTGGCCGGAAGCTCCAGGGGGGCCGAGGCAGGGCTGGAGCTGGGGGAGGCGGGGAGCTCCGGGCGGCCCCAGGGGCCGGGAAGGGGCGGGCCGAGCGGGGCTTCCTGGAGGCGCGGAGGAAGTTGTGCCCATTTCTGGAAATGCACGAGGCGGGCCCGGGAGAGGATGGAACTGGCCTGCGGGGAGCCGGCCGTCGGGAGCCTGACCCCGACGCCCGGGGACGCCAAGCCCCGGGCGGCTGGGACTCAGACTATTTCCCCCCCGACCCAGACCTTGGCGGCCGAGGCTGAGCTCGTCCACGCCCGCTGGTGCCCCGTCGGGGGGCTCCGTGATGCTGCCGCGTTGTTTCCTGGAGATCGGTCCAGCGGCCAAGGAGTCCCCCCGGTGTGGGATCATTAATACTCTCTGTTTACGACCCCCTGAGAGCCTGTTTCTGATGTCACCGAGTGCCAGTCGGGGAGGTAGTCTGGGGCTAACCTGTGATACCTACTGGGGCGGGCAGCCTACCCACCTGTCGACGACGCTCCTGTTTCCCCGTGCCCGCTTGATCAGCGAAGCCCCCTCCCCCCAGAGCCTCTAGGCACAGTTGCACAGGTCGTGCACCGCATATAGGCTCCATATTTAAGGGGCTGTCTCGAATGTCCCAGGTACCATGCATTTACATATTTATTACAACAGTTTTCCAGCAGATGGAAGTCAAGTGCCTCAAGGGAAGGGCACATCTTTTGCACAAAAGCACCATCTGGGCTAGATCAGCCCGATCCCATCCCCCTGGCCCCCTTGGGTTTCTGAACGGTTCATGCCTGAGAACCTGCCCCTCTCTCCCCTTGTCTGACCCCCAGATGCTTGTGCAGGCCCCCTGGCTCTGATGTGCCCCTCCACCTTCAGGCTCTGCCCCAGGAGGCCACACAACCTTGGCCAGCAGATTCCAGGGCCCACACCATTCCTAGCTGAGCCACCGGCCCTGGCGCTTGCTACTGCCTTCACAGAGTCTCTGTGTATTCCAGTCATGGGAGTCCCCAGACCAGGTCCCCTCCATGGACATTCGCAGGAATCTCACACACATACACATTTCTCCCCTGACACCTGGATGAGCTGTGCCCAGCTGTCCTTGGGCTCCTTTTTCTCCCTCCCTTCTTCATTCTCTCATTCAGCAAAGATTTGTACTTACTGTGTGCCTGTCCCTATATAAAATATAAATCTGGCCAGCTGCGGTGGCTCATGCCTATGATCCCAGCACTTTGGGAGCCTGAGGTGGGAAGATTGCTTGAGCCCAAGAGTTCACGACCAGGCTGGGTAATGTAGTGAGATTTTGCCATTACAAAATTTTTAACAAATATTAGCCAGGCATAGTGGCGTGCGCCTGTAGTCCCGTCTACTTGGGAGCCTGAGACAGAAAGATCACCTGAGGCCAAGAGGTTGAGGCTGTGGTGAGCCATGATGGTGTCACTGCACTCCAGCCTGAGTGACAGAGTGAGTCCCTGACTAAAAAAAAAAAACAAAAAAAGACAAAGATGACCACATCTCTCCCCTGACCCTAGGCTCTCAGAATATAGCCAATTCCTGTGTGGTCATTGAACATTTACTGAGCACCTATGGTATGCAGTCCCAGTGCATTGTGGAAATTTAGCACAGGAGATATTATTGAAGTAATAAGCTGTAGAGAAGAGGTTGTGCCTGAAAGCCAAACCTCCTGGGTTTGAATGCCAGCATTGCCACTCTGTGGCTATGTGACTCTAGGCAAAGTACTTAACTTCTCTGAGCCTCAGGGTCCTCACCTGTAAACTGGAACAGTAACAGTATTCACTGAGGGCTGTTGTTCTGGAGGGAAAGGGAGCAGCATGTGTAAGAGTCAAGGGGTGAGAGACCCTGCAACATTTTCAGGGATGTCTAAGCTGCTGGCTTTGACTGGAATGAGGAGGAAACTGTAAGGTAAGTGGTGGGACTGGAGGAGTCAGCAGGGGCCAAAGCATACAAGACCCTGGATGGGGGACTTTGTTCTGAAGGCACTGGGGAGCTATGAAATAAAAGGATCTCTTTGCCAGGTAGGTGTCTTGGTGGGAGGTGAGATGGGAGGTCAGCAGCCCGGGGGGGGGGGCGAGTCTGGGGAGAGACAGAGCAGTCATTGGGAGGGGAAGTCGGGGAAAAGTCATCAGGGTAGGCTGTGGACAGCTGAGCCACCATGGAGAAGGGGTCTAGGACCAGCCTCAGGGCTCCATTCAGGGGACTGGGAGATGGAAGGGCCACCCTGGATGGTGGCTGGGGAGAGAAGCGGGCCTGGGGTTGAGGCTGAGACCAGGGAACGATACAAGGGTGTAAGAGGCTGGGAGGATGCCTGGGGGAAGACATTGGAGCTGCTGGGCCCTGGGACCAGAGCTTAGTAGAGAGGCCCAGGGAGCAGGGGCGGGCATGAAGGGTAGGGTGAGGGAGACATCAGTTTCCCTGGGCTGGGCTGGGCTGGGCTGGGCAGGCTCAGGCTGGGTCCGGAGAGGGTGTTCCCTAAGGAGAAGCTTCCACCTCCTTCCCCAGCCCTGCAGGATGTCCTGTGTTTACTGAGGTGGCCTTGGCCGGAACCAGGACACTGGTGCCATCCCCTGAACTCAACTTCCCATGACCACACCCCCTCGGGTGAGGGATGACAAAGAGAGAGTGAGACAGGGAGAGTAGGAGAGACAGAGAGAGAAAGAGAGGGAGAAAGAGTGAGAGAGAGAGAGAGAGAGAGACAGAGAGACATGGAACAAGGACAGAGAGAAAGATAGAAGCTGAGACCCAGAGGATCACAAAGACAGACACATGGACACCCAGAGAGACATGCCACTCATGATTAAAAATTCACAGCAAACCAGGAAAGGGAGCTTCCTCAACCCGAGAAAGGGCATCCTAGAAAATGCGCAGCCAACCTTATACCTAATGGTGAAAGGCTGAATGGCTTCCCCCAGGACTAGGAACAAACAAGGGTCTCTGCTCTGAGACATGAGGGGAGACAGGTCTGTGCAGACCAGCCTCCCTTTTCTGTTTGCCTCTGAGGAGGGACAAGTGGATTGTTTTCCTCTGTCTAGCCTGGCTGATAGCTCAGTCTCTTTCCACCCTCAAGTATTTATTTATTTATTTTTTTGAGTCCGAGTCTCACTCTGTAGCCCACGCTGGAGTGCGGTGGCATGTTCGTGGCCACCGCAGCCTCGACCTGCTGGACTCAGGTGATCCTTCCACCTCACTCTTCCAATTAGCTGGAATCAGCCGGGCACGGTGGCTCAGCCTGTAATCCCGTGCCTTTGGGAGGCTGAGGTGAGTGGATTGCCTGAGCCCGCGGGTTCGAGATCCGCCCGGGCAACTTGGCGAGACCTCGTCTCTATAATAAACCAAAAAAAAAAAAAACAAATTAGCCGGGCATGGTAACACGCACCTGTAGTTCCAGCTACTTGGAAGGCTGAGGTGGATGGATCGCCAGAGCCCAGCAGGTTGAGGCTGCGGTGGCTGGGAGCAGCCACTGCACTCCAGTCTGGGTGACAGAGTGAGACTCCAACTCAAAAAACCATCAAACAAACAAACAAACCAATTAGCTGGACTCACAGGCCCACACCATCACGCCTGGCTAAGTTTTTGATTTAGTGTAGAGAGGAGGTTTCACCACGTTGCCCTGGCTGATCTCAAACCCCTGGGCTCAGGCAATGCCCTTGCCTCTGCCTCCCAAAGTGCTGGGATTACAGGTGTAAGCCACCGTGCCTAGCCTCCCTCAAGCATCTAAAAAGCCCAGCTTTGCTTTGTCTCTCCCATAGTATCCAGGGCCCACAGAACAAAGTCTCAGTCCCTCCCCATGTCTGCTGACGCTGGAACCTCCTCTCAGCTTCTCCTCACACTCTCATATCAACCACTTTCTCAAAAGGCCTTTGCACGGGCTGTTCCCTCCACTTGAGACACACCTTCATTCACTCACCATCCATGGCTTTGAATGAACACTCTTATATCCTTTAGGTGCCGGCTCAAATGCCACTTCTTCTGAGAAGTCCTCCCTTCTTAGGCTGGGGCAGGTGCCTTTCCTGGGCTCCCCCATCACAACCCTCATCATTCTGGATTTGTTCTCTGAAGGACTGTGAACTCTTTGAGAGCAGGCCTGAGCTGCCTCAGTCACACTGTGTTCCCATCACCATCCAGCGTGGGGCTGGGCACAAGACCAGATGTTCACTGAATGTTGGTTGGCATCTCATCTCTGCCTGGAACCCTTTTCCCTACCCTTTTCCTTGACTGTCTCATCCTCAGCCTTCCTGTTTGACTTCAGATGTCACCTCCTGCAGGAATCCTTTCCTGAGTCTGCCCCCCCACCAGGGTAAAATTAGGTCCGCTGATGTCCCCAGTGCCTGGCAAAGGACCTGCTACCAAACAGGGTTTGTGAATGTTTGTTGAGTGAACAAATGAATCAGTGAATGAGAGACAGAGAGGTGAGGGTCTCCTGAGGCCCACCAGGAGCCACACCATCCCTTCCACCCCTCCCAGGAGGAGGGCTCCGGCTGGGCTCTGGCCACACCCCAACCCTTGGTTGTTGCCAGGCCTGGAAGGCATTTCCCAGAGCTCAGCACATTCCTGGCTTCCCCGGTGGCTGAGTGGGCAGGGGGCATTTCAGAGAGAAGGGGGGAGGTCCCCAGCATTCTGAGATCCTGCCATTCTGGCCTGGTCCCCCATGCTTTCAGAAGTAGGCCCCAATCCCCTGGTATGAGGTGGGGATGGGTCTGCAGAGGGGCCATCCAAGCTGGTATGAGGGGTGAGGGTGCCTGCTGAGGCGAGAGCCTGGTGTCCGTGCCTGGCTGGACAATGGGGCAGAAGCTGCTGACACGCACTTTGGGGGTAATCCCCCAGCCTCATCCCAGCCTAGGCCTGGGGCCTGGGCTCAGAGAGCGGCGAGCGTCCGAGGCAGCAGCCGGGTGGGTGCGAGGGGCATGTGGGGGTACTTGTGCTCCCTGTGCCGCCCCCCGGGGTCTGGTGAGTCAGGGCAGGCTGGGGGCTGGACCAGGGGCTCGGGGTTAGGGGATCGGGGTGAGGCTTGGAAGCCTTGGTTTGGGAGTTGGGCAGGTCTGTGTTCAAATCTGGGTGGCTGCTGTGGGCGATCTTCGGAGAGTCACTTACCCTTTCTAAGCCCCCCCTGTTGTCTGAAATGAAGAGGACAGAAGAGTGTCACGAGGTCTTTGTGGTCCAGCAGAATGGGGTTTGGACCCCAGCCCCACTATCTCCTGGCCTTGTAGATAAAAGTTGGGCAAAGTTAGTCCACCTTATACCTGTGATTCAGAAACAGAGCTTTGGGTGACCAGCTTAGTATTCAGTACATGATAGGTGTCCCCTCAAATGGCAACTCTATTAGGCAGAGAAACGGGGCTGCCCATGCCCAGTCTTACTAAAAGGAGCCAAAAGCTCCCGACAAGCCAAGCCAACCACCTAATTTGCATGAATAACAATAACACAAAATATTTATAAGTAGCACTCACTGTGTCAGGCATTGCTTTACATTTTTAGCCTCTTTTAACTCATTGAATCTTCCCAACAACCCTATGAAATGGGCATTCTTACTATCTCCATTTTAGAGATAAAGAAACTGAGGTCCAGAGAGTAGCCGTGACTTGCCGAAGGTCATACAGCCAAGAAGTAGCTGAGCGGGGATATGAACCCAAACTGACTGGGAGAGTGAGTGGAAGGAGTTTATCTTAGAGGCCCCAGGAGCCAGGAAACGGTGGGGGCGGGGTGAGGTGCTGAGTCTCTAAGTGGGGAAAGTAACATGCAAATCCCTGAAGCAGGACTCCCGGTTGGGGGTTTCAGCCCAGGCAAGGGAGAGGCAGCTGGCGCTCATGGTCCCCACCCCTTTGTGGATGAATGTAGCTGGAAGAGGAGATGTTTGTTTCCCCACCACCCACCGTCTGGTGACGTCACACTCCAGCAGCCAATGGCTGGGGTCGCCCTCTCCTCCCCCTCCCCATTCTTTTTCCCCCCCAGCTTAGGGCTGGGGCTGAGCAGACGGACCGGGAGCTCTCGAGGTGTCTGGAGGCCCAGCGGTAAGAGATCAGCTGGCCAGTCCCCTTCTGGCCAGGCTGAGAAGCTATGGAATTGGGAGCCAGGGTCCTGAGAGGGGCTGGGAGGGTACCTGGGGTTCAACAGGCAGTGTGGTGTAGGTGTTAAGGGTGCAGACCTTGTAGTCAGACCCTGGGTTCAAATTCCATCTTTCCCCTCCTTTCTGGCTATGCAGCCTTGGGCGAGATGCTTCACCCTTTGTGCCTCTGCTTTTCTGTCTCTAAAATGGGCTGATGTCAGGAGGCCAGTTTACAGGGCTGGCATGAGAGTAGTAAATGAGTTGCTGCTTGCAAAGAGCTGAGGCAGGATGCCTGAGGCGGGTGGCAGACCTGGAACAGGGTGCTGGGGAGGCCGCACTGATCCTGTCGGTGGGAGGCTGGTGCCCAACCTGGATGTTATCCCTCAGAGTTCTCCTCTGGTAGGGAGGAAGTGGGGTCACTGAGGAGCACCGGCTGCATGTGAGACACTGTGAGGCGCACAGCCCCCTCTCCTGTACATGCCCTGTTGCTGTCAGAGACTAGTTTATGTGAACTGAGCAATTTCTATATACCGGGAACATTCCAAGCACCTTCTGTTAACTCACAAATCTTCAAAGCCCACTTGGCAGATGAAGAAACTGCGGCCCCAGAATGAAAGAACTTGCCCGAATTCTCACACCTGGGGATTACTGGAGTGGGGACTCACCGAGGCAGCTAGAGGCCACCACCTTAACACCTCCCACCCGCCCCCCTCTATCCCACTAAATGGCCTCAGATAATGTTCAGGGGCCTAGACGAGTCAGGGTGAGCCCCCACTCCCAATGCTGAGGGCACAGATCACTGGTGGTTGGGGAGAGCTGAGACTCTGAGTAGGCAGAGTTCCCAAGTGGGGTTGGCGGTAGCCACCAAGGAAAGAGGGCCAGAAAGGGAAAACCCTCAGCAGATGCCTCGGCCTGCCTGGCTCAGCGGGAGGGCCCAAGTGACCACCCCTTACTCCCAGCCACTCTAGAAGGCATGAGTCGCCTCTGAAAGGGATATTGAAGTTGTACCTGCCCAGGGAGGTGTTAGGAAGATTTAAGGCGCCAAAGCAGGACGGTTCGCAGCACATAGTAAGTGCTCAAGAAATGGGGACTTGGAATTCCAGAACTCTGGGCATGTATTGGGGTGGTGCCACAGTCACCTCCCAATACATGGGCTGTTGGAATCTGGGGGATTCTGTCTGGTCTAGATTCTCCCGGGCGGTTCCCCTTCGATCTCCCCCTAACCCAAGTCAGGGACCCCCCGCCCCGGAGTCTCTCCACCCCTCCTTCCTTGCCCAGTGGGATGGGCAGAGCTGGGAACACAGTGCCTGGGTGGGGTGGGTTTCCTTCGGAAGCTGCCCCCACCTTGACCCAAGCCCTGGGTACGTGGCTCAGGAAGGGCACAGTTGGGCTAAATATAACCTGGGCTGGGCGCCGGTCCTGGGCAGGGCGAGGAAGGAGGGCACTGTCTCTTGCTCCCGCCCCCCCTGAACTTCCTGTGCCAGACTCTGGGTGTGACTGTCACTGACCCGGCCTGGAGCAGAGAACTTATGACCCAGGTGACCCTCCCCCCAATCTCCACCACCACCTACAAGGTCTGGGCTTCTCCCACTCCCAGTTCATGGTGCCGTGCTGTGTCATGGTTAAGAAGCTGACTCAGTTTTCACATCTAGGTTTAAGTCCTGACTCTGTCACTGTGATATCCTGTCTCTTAACTCTCATTTACTGGTCAGTAAATAAAGTCCCATGAAGCCAAGTCTATAGAGTGCTAGCCTGGCCCAGGCCTGGCACCCATGAGGTCCCCTAAAAATGTGTTTCTGGGCCCCTTGACCCCTCCTGACCAACTCAGCTCCTGCCCCACTGCTCAGAGCCACCAATATATGCTTATGTACAAAGTAAGGGTCAAGGGCATGGGTCCTAGCTCTGCTCCTTCCTGGCTGGGTGGTCCCAGGAGGGCCATTTCACCTCTGTGAGCCTCAGTTTCCACCCCTGCAACAGCCATGGGTTTGTGGCCTCTGGGTGCCAGCACGGGGCCCAACTCAAAGGAAGTGGCCCAGACATGGGCGCCAGTTTGAGAAAGGGCTGCTCCTGCTTGGAGGGGCAGGGGGCTCAGAGACGAGGCCAGAGAGAGACACAGAGACCAGGACCCTAGGAGATTCAGAGGGGAGCCCCGTAACATTGTGGGGGGACCGCCAGGGGAGTGGGTGCTGAGGGGTCCGCGTGTCCTCAATCCTGGCCAGTGGTGGGCTATGAAGGACCATTGTGTGGCTGGGGTGGGTGGGCAGGGGTGGAATGTGACTGGGAACAGCAGACGGCCCATTGTGTGAGGGAATGTGCCGCGTGAGGCCTGACCTTTCCTTGTGCAGCAGGGGTTGGCGGGTTGGCATGTCAGGTGGGGGCCGTGAGGACGAGCCCAGAGTTGGGGGTGGGGGGGAAGACAATATCCATCTCCGTATCCCCAGAAGGGCCTGACGGGACACTGCTTGCACATCTCAGCTCTGCCTCCTTCTGGCTGTGCTGTGACATCCTGTCTCATAACTCTTGGCCTCTCAGGGGATGGGCTTTTCTGCAGTGAGTAGAAGTGCAGGTCTTACTTAGCATAAGGACTGGCAAGTAGTAACCACTCAATACCCAGTAGTTACTGTTGTTGCTGTTATTGTTATTTATATAAGGGGCTGGAGCATTCAGACAAGTTCAAGTCCTGGCTCAGTCATTTGTGACCTGAGCTAGTAACGTATATTTCCTCAGCCTTGGGTGTCTCCTCTGTAACGGGCTCAGTAACAGGACTGACTTTACAGGCCAGGCACAGTGGCTCACACCTGTAATCCCAGAGTTTTGGGAGACCAAGGAGGGAGGATTGTTTGAGTCCAGGAGCCCAGCTTGGGCAACCTAAGGAAACCCTCATCTCTACAAAAGTATTTCTTTTTTTTGAGTTGGAGTCTCACTCTGTCGCCCAGACTGGAGTGCAGTGGCTG